CCCCCCCCCCCCCCCCCCCCCCCCCCCCTTCTTTTCCCCCACCAACCAGCTAACATTAAACATTCAGAAAATTAATAATATTAAAAAACTGCCTAGTTGAAAGCCACAATGACCTCTTTCATCACTTCACTCATCCTCTCCCCAGACTCCAGTTTTAACCTGCAACTAGCCGATGGGAAAACAGAGCGAAATTCGTCAAACGCCGATGGGCAGCAAGCATTCCGACCGACGTCATGACCTGCTCCCCAGCCACTCAGAAACCTCCGATTCGTCATACGATATTCCCCCAGATCACGCCAACCGTTTGGTTGTGTTTTGCTTCTTTTGGCAGCAGATTTCTTAGACTTGAATACAGTCGAATCGATCGATGTAACTTGGACGGGTTACAATCATGGGAATGGTTCCTTTCTTCCTTTTCCTTTTCTTTTCCTTTTTCCTCTTTCCATTCTTTCTTCTCAATCTCCCCAAAACCGCATGGCATTGAATTAGTACATTGAATCAGTGCTGCAGTGCACCAATAGCGGTAATAATACAGTGTACGATAGTGTGCAGTGCAGTGCAGTGCAGTGCAGTGCAGACACGCCATACAGACAACGCCATGGAATGCTCGTACGATCTCCAATTCTCTCAGGCTGTGGCTGGGTGATTTTTCTTTTTTCTTCCCTCTTCTTTTCCTTCTCTCTGTACATCTTATTTTCCATCGATACACCTCGTCCCAGGCCACTGTTATATCCGTATGAGTTGCCTCCTCCTCAGCGTATCTCGGAACTGATCCGCCCATGCACCCGCCCCTCCCATGCAGTCGCTCTCATTCCTCTTAGCCATGGCATCGGGCAGCCACTCTCTCATCTTCTGAATACGATTGTCGTTCTGACTTTCGGGTCAGCCAATGAAATCCTTTACGTCGCCGAGGAACAGAAGAAGAAGGAAAGAGCAGGAGAGGAGAAGGGAAGGAGAATAGACGTACAGACGGATGCGTACTCAGCATCTCAGGCACCTCGTACCCCTTACTCTGCAGATGGCTCATGCGCTGCCAGAAAGCCACCGCCTCCCTGGGATCGTAGCAGGCCTCGGCCATCATCATGAGGCCGATGTAGTCCGCTTCGCTCTCCATCCTGCGACCCATCGGCAGTCCGTACAGCAGCTCCTGGAGGTACATACCCCCCGTCACCGTCCATATCCCCAGCAGGGCTAAGCCGCGCAGCGCTCCCGCCATGAAGAACAGGCTCCCCGACGTGAAGTTGGCCACGTAAGCCGCCGACAGCCGCTCGGACGCGTGGGACGCCACGTTGTGCGCGATCTCGTGGCCCAGGACGGCCGCCAGCCCGTCCGAGTTACCGCACACCCTGAGTATGCCGGTGAAGACGAAGAGGTGGCCGCCCGGTGTGACGAAGGCGTTTGCATTTGCTGCGTCTGTCTCAGCACTGACGCACCAAGAGAGAAGAGAGAGAACTCACAATCATCGTCAATCACCCGAATCCGCCAATTCACATCCGTCATACCGCTGACAGGCACCAACCTCCCCATGACCCTCTGGACATGCCTGTACCTCGGGTCCCAGTGCGGGAGGAACCTGCCCCCCTGGGCCTCGACCTGGCTGACGACGGCGTCCGCCTCCCGCGACCCGATCGACTCGACGTACGAGTCCCCCAGGAAGTTGAACCGCCGCCTGCCCGAGACCGGCACCGTCTGCGAGTTGGCCAGGTAGAAGAGGACGGCGGCGGCGATGCAGCCGGCCATGAAGGCGCGCGAGCTGGTCCCCGTCCCCGCGCGCGCCAGCATCGACGCCGTGGCGTCCGACAGGAGAGGGCGGGCCGTGGCTAGCCCGTGCCGCGCTCGGTCCTCGCGCGTGACCTGCTGGTACTCGTGTGACCGGCGCGCCTGCGCCTGCGCCTGCCGGAGGCGCTGGCGTACCTGCTCCTCAAACGTGGGTTTCCTGCCGTTCCCGTCACCCCCGGAAGCGTGCGAGTAGGGCCGCCATTGTCTCTGACCTGCAGCGTTACCAGTGGTAGCAGTGATGACAGTGCTCGTCGTAGCGGCAGATGAGACGTGCGGTCGTGATGACGTCGTTGGTCGTACTGCTGTTGCTGCTGCTGCTGCTACTGCTACTGCTGAATTCACCCGGTTGACGGACGAGATTCCGTAGTGCTGTCGTGCAGGCGTGACGCTGCGCGAGACTAGCATCTCCAGAGGAAGAAGACGAGGTGTCGGTGACGTTGTGTATGAAAGAAAAAGAAAAAAAAAGAGAGAGAAAGAGAGAGAGTGTGTGTTTTTGATCATGATGTCTGAGTCGTGAGTCGATGAGGGTCCCACAAGACTTTCGTCAAGGTCACGTGTTTCTCAACTGCATCAGTAACACCACCGAAGCAACTGCATGCCGTGGAACAGAAACAAAATATCCTTCTCTCTTGTATTCGATTCAGTGTACAGTACTCTTTTTTTTTTCTCTTTCTTCTATTTTACGTAGCAGGTCTTCTCTATTGTGTCCTAGTCATGTTGACTCAGAGAGGTTGCATGTATTATTCATTATCCACACCAGATCTCGAATATGTTGGGAATGACATCAAACCGCTCACATTCCAACAGCACTGCAACTCTTCAGACCACTGTCTCTCAGACATGTTACTCCTTGGAAACAGAGGTCTCAAACTCCACGCTGAGAATAGAGCTCGTCTATATGCAGATGATGAAAGAGGGGTGATGTAAGCCCTCAGATATGCAAGAAAAAGAAAAAAGAAAAAAGGGGGGAGGGTATAAAGACCCTCAAACACGCAAGAATCCAGTCAAGGCATGATCAAGGCATGGTGGCAAGACACCAATGCCCCCATATCCTACACACGCATTGTTCTTCTCCAAAAATTTTGTCCAGTCTTCTATCTTCTTTTGCCTTTGGTACTTCCAAAGACTTATGAAGAGGTTGATTTATGAGAGAAGATAGAGAGAAGGAGGAAGGGTATGAGGGAAAGTGTGAGAGGGTATGTGAAGAAGTGGAATGGCATAAAGTCATTAGAGTCTCTCGGGGGAGTTAAGACGTCGTCCTGTTTGGGACCGGTTCGCCGGGGAACGGTTTTCTCCCCCACACCACGTAGATGGGCATGTAGGCGTGCATTCGGGGGTCTGATATTTCGCGTCGTACGTCGACGAGGGAGAGCTGTCGGGTTTGGATATGATCAGCTTTCTTTTCTCTCTTGACGATGATGAATTATTACGGAACAGATGGATAAAAGAGGGGATCGAAGAGTTTGACGAGAATATATATATACAAAAGATGATCACAACGTCTTCAAACGTAGGGGGGGGGGGAAATACCTCTGTCTCGACGGCAGTCCGTCCAAAGGCCCGATGATAGAGATTATAGCTGAAGCCGCTGAGCCCTTGCCGCAGGTTAAGCTCCCAGTTCTTGCCCAGCTCCTTGAGCCGCTCGTCGCGCGGCCATCCGTTTGTCGGGATCTTGAAGATGCGCTCGTGGACGTCGACGAAGCCGACCTCCTCGTATATGCTCCGGAGGTGACATGCCAGCTTCATCGGGCGGTCCATCTGGGCGGCCGCCTCGGCCAGGGTGCGCAGGTATGCCGACAGGTGGCTGTTCTCGGGCACGGTCCCGTCGTCGCAGGCCACGTACGAGTCAAACTCCTGCGACTCGAGCCACCCGCCCGGGCTGAGCGAGTCGAAGGCCTGCTGGGCTACCTGGGTCTTGAAGCATGACCAGCACCCCGCCGTGACGCGCGTGTGGATGTAATCGAATGGCTGGGTGTAGTCCCACGGTTCGGATCTTTCAAGGGTTCCCCATCGTCAGTCCGAGGCTGAGGGGGGGCAGACACACGTGGAACGTGCATAGGAAGGGGTTTGGGGGAACGCACGAATCTTCCACAAAGAAATTAACATTCGGCGGAACCTCTTCCGGCTGGACGGGTGACAGGTCCGTGGCGATGATTTCGGTTTCGGGGAAGTAGTCGCCCATCTGGATGGCCCATTTTCCCGTGCCCGTACCGATATCGAGTATCCTCCGCGGCGGCGAGGCCTTGGTGAGGGGCGCGAAGAAGAGTCTGCCGCTGAAGAGGGCTGTGAGTATGTCGTACTGGAAGGTGAGGCGCTCCAGCTCGTAGTTGTCATTTGGGAAGGCATATGCTGTGACGGCTGCATGTCAGCGGAAAAAGGAAAAGAAAAAAAGAAAAAAAGAAAAGAAAAGGGGGGGAGGGCTTCGAGGATAGGGAGCCCTCTTCGCCTCTCGTGCCCTCCAGAGGCCCCCCGAGGGGTAGCAGATAGGAGAGATGATGAGGGTGAGATGGAGCGATGACTCACAGCCAGCTCGGTAAGCATGATATCTCCTGCCAAATTCGATGGGATAATCCTTGACACTCTCAGTCAAGGACATGGACGAGTCATCGCTGTCGGGACAGTTAGCGACCATTCTCCGTCTTTTCTTTCCTCCGTTCCTTCTCTCCGCTGCCTCCATCAATAGTCCACTTCTACCCCTCTTCCCCCTTCGATTCCTCCTCTCATCCTTCTCCATCCTTCTTGCCCTCCCCCCTCTTCCACGAGAGAGGGATGGGAAAGAAGAGACGGCGAGACTTACAAGGAATCTAGGTCCGGCTAGTGGAGCGGTTGTCAGTTCGAGGGATCTACCACTCATGGGACAGACGGGGGAGAAACATACGTCAGGTTCAATAAAACTCCCCTTGCTAGATCCGCTATTGGAAGCCGCACAGTCAAAGGTGAAGCGGAAATTGTCGACGGGATTATCGGAAGAAGGAAAAGGTACTGTATGACGATCTCGGTCGACGCCGTTACCAGCGGCCACCCCGTTCATCGTGTTGCTCGTATGCATATATGTGTGCGGGTGTGCTGATGATTCCCGCGCAGACTTGGTGCCGCTGATGCCTCCCTCTGCTTCTGCTTCTACTCTCCTACTTCTCCTTCCGCTCCGAGCGCCGAGTACTCTGGCAGAGGCGGCAATGGTGGTGGCGGTGGTGGTGACTCGACAACAAGTGATAATATAAGATGCGGCGGATCGATGGCGAGCAGAGGAAGACGACGCCTGAATCTTTTACCTCATATGTGTGCGTGTTGTCTGTTTGGGGGGAGGGGGGTATATGTATATATACGGGTAGAAGGGAAAAGAAACGAGAGAAGAGGGAGAGGGAAATGTGTGTGTAGGTATGAGAGAGAAGGCGAGAGGAAGGACGAAGGAGAGGGAGAGAGAGAGAGGGCGGGGAGAGAGAGAGAGAGTCCTCGTCAAAGGACTGATGTGATGTGACGGAATGGGCAAACAGATGGAGAGAGGTGAATGAAGGACCCAAACCGTTGGAACCGTGCAGATGGGATCCGATGCGGGACGGTACAGCAGCAAAAAAAGAGAAAAAGAAAAGAAAGAAAAGAAAAGAAAAAGAAAAAAAAAGAAGAAAAAAAAAAGAAAAGACGTGGATGATGGTGGGATATAACGACGGGGGAGAACAGAACAAATAGAAGAGATCAAGTACAGCAGAAAAAGGTAACTTGGGTGTCGGGGTATGAGTACTCTTGCGACAGATTCGACCCAGCAAAGACCATATAGTAATACTCCGTATATATTATAATATGGTCCGTCAAGTGGATCTCCCTCTACCACCCCTCCCCTTCTCTAGTCTCTCTCCTCTCTCTCTCTCTCTCTCTCTCTCTGTCTCTCTCTCTCTCTCTCTCTCTCTACTTTCTCTCTCCCCTCCCTCTCTCTCTCCCGGGTCTCTGCCCACCCCGACCCCCACCAACGCTCCACGCCGTGCAACGTCAACACACCCACAGCTCATCAAAGGGTTGCCTGTTAACTTCCGCTCCTAGCTCCTGCTGCTCCCTTTCCCTACTTGTGCTAGTAACCGTAAGACTGCCTCGACTAGGAGGCTCGTACTGATGGCCATCCCATCCGTATACGACCAACTCTATCGCATATACATCGTCTACGGAGGATATGCGCCGTATTTATTCCTACGCTCCCCAAGGCTGCACATGTAGATTGCGCAGTATCATGGATTTCGCTACGGATCAGGGTGGTACGAGTAGAGCGATGAGCTCTCTCGTACGCCGTAGCCATGATCCCCCTACGGTACCTACGGAGTATCCCCTACGGAGTATCCCTACGGGGGTATCCCTACGGGGGTATCCCTACGGGGGTATCGTCATGTATCATGCGTCCATGTCACTCCTCCCTCGCAGCACACATCACAGACACGCACACGCTCTCCGCAGTACACATCATATTACAGCCCATGTAACCTTCCCGGCCCAACCTAGATATCCCGCTCATCCTGGTATTATCGGTAGGCTGTAGCAGGGGTCTGAGTCCGACCCAGCGCAATGTCACCGGGTCTTCCCAATATCCTGGTCCCCAATAGCTCTCCTTACCAAGTCCCAACCGTTTGGTTCTGTATGCCGCACCTCGCTCGACATTGTCTGCACTGATCGGTCATGAGCAGCAGGTAGCACAGGAATGCCTGGTTTGTGTTTCGGAAAAGGCTGAGACCACACACACACACACACGCACGCACGCACACACACACACGCACCCGCACACGCACACGCACATACATAGCCATGCTAAGAGTGGGTGGGTGTGCTGCTTTTCGCCCCAGCTAATTGTTTCCGTCTACGAGTATTGATGCATCTGTATCTGTATCTGTCTTCGTGTGCTCATAGTGTACTTGTATGCAGACAAGTATATATCATCTACGCCCGTGTGCGTGAGTACACCATATGTGGTGTGGTTTTGTCACCCTCTTCCTTCTTTTGATCTCATGTCTCATATTTGCCTGTCTCCCTCCTCTTCTCCCCTCCTTCCCCGGTCTTTGTTCGGTATTGGTCGTGATTCACCCACGACCCCAGGACTCGCCCGCACACACGCATATACTCGTACACATGCGCGCCCGCGCACAGACGGTCGTGCACCGAGCGCGTCGTATCAGATGCCTCCCGGACCACTGATACTCCGCATTGCCCAGATTTTGGTTGGTGCGGTGCATCGTGCTACTACATGAGGCGGTGGGTAAGGTAGCCTATAATTTAGCCCAAGCCGGAGCAAAAGTCGCCAAAAAAGAAACGAGGCCGGCTAATACTTCAAGTATAGTGGTGGGAGGAAAAAGAAACAGGAGAGAAGGTAATGATGATAGAGAGGTAAAAAGCAAGCAAGACGATCGTCAAGACTAGAGTAAGACCACTATCTAGTGCTAGCAGCATCAGGAGACAAGTCGACGGTTAGATGATGCCTTAGACATAGAGATTAGACTGGCAACCTCGTCTGAGATTGCTACGCTCCACCAGCCCTGGATGGGTGCATGAAACCTGAATCGTGGCATCGCATCACGCTCGACGCCATCTGAACCTCGTTGCTGGCGACCAGGACGGCTGGGGGAGCGCCCGAAAGCCGCCAGGATCATGCATGGCACTGCGGGTATTACCACTCGGGGGAGTCGGGGCCGTGAAATGCTCCCGTGGACCACGCCTGGTATGTCGTACTCGTACCATGTACGTCGCACTGGTGATGATATACTTCGTGCTAATACATCATTAGCACGAGCGGTTCGGATGAAATGTCCATGCAATACCGGTGCTCTGGTCGGCGTCCACCGATCATGTGGGGATCATATGTGCCTGTCTCGGGTCTGCATTTTGTGTGTGTGCGTCTGTGCCGCACACAAGCCACCAGCCAAAGAACAGGACAGTCTTTTTTTTTTTCTTTTTCTTTTCCTTCTCCATGGCTTCAACAACGTTTGGTTGTCTGTCGTATCCCTCAGCCTAGGAAGAAGGGTTCACATCCGACAGTGGCCATAGGGAGCCGTGGCGGCCAGCCGTGGCGGCCAGCCATGGCCAGTGATGAGCGGGAATGATGCTGAGACGACGTATGCAGTCGTATCAGCATCGGTGTGCGAGACGTGACTGGCACGGCTCCACGGGACAGACACTGATAACGGCACAGTAGTAGTAGTAGTAGTAGTAGTAGTAGTAGTAGTAGTAGTAGTAGTAGCAGCAGCAGCAGCAGTTAGTGGTGCTCGTAATATCTGTAGACGTGTGCGTACGAGCAGTGGTAGTAACCGTAGTGCAAACAATGTAGGATGGCAATGATGATGATGATGATGATGCTCACCACACCCTCACCATGATGAATACCCACCACAAGCAAGGCAGGTGCTGCTCTCTCTGACCAATGCCACCAATCTGTCCTCTCGCTCCTTCCCTTCTGCCCTTTTCCTAGCCCAGAGCTGCTTCCCTCGCAAGATGCACTTCGCTCTTTCCTATTCTAGACTCTAGACCCCGCACCCACCACTCCGTGTGTAGTCGACGAGTAGAGCGGTATTACATGTAAGCATCTGTCGAGTGACAAGAAAGAAGAAGATTACATAATCGTGAAAGCACGATATCATCGACCTCTGCTCAGTAATCACCTGCTTCTCTTTTTCCTCGTGTTTCACCGCCATCATCGACACATGCAATACCCGACACGCTGGTGAGGCCATTTGTTTCATGCCGACCGACAGGACGGGTACTGCCGATACTGCTGCCGCTGGAGCGCGTGTGTGCACTCGTACGTGTATGTGTGTGCGTGCGAGGTATGTGTGTGTGTGTCTTACCAACGCACAGCGCACAGCGCACAGCAGCACGGGCCGCATCCCCCTTACACCCGCGAGGATGTGAGTGAGAGGAGCGCCCGCTGCCAAGGTAAGGTAAGTGGAAACGCAAAAGGCCGCGTTCAGCAGAGAATGCTAATCATCATCATCAGCACCTATCAACCCCGGGATCCGCACTGCTACCACTAGTAAGTACCACTAGTACCACTAGTACCACTAGTACCACTAGTACTGCTAGTGAATGCTTGCCCCAATGCTACTGCTGACGTCGCGCGCCATCGATGCGTTCTTCACCCCTAGCTAGCGAGCTGTGGCTTTCTCAACTTGAGCCGGCCTTGCACACCATGGATTTCTCCCGCCCTACCGAGTTCAAGGCGACAAGACTTTGCGAGGAAAGTCCTGCCGCTTGGTCGCTCCGACACACAAAGTCCAACGCCCCACCAACCGATGTAACCAACCCTGGCCACGCCGTACGACGTAGGAGTGGCACGTTACCGGCCGGCGACACGGGGTATCTAGGACCCCGAGCAGTTCGGATCATTGACGGTCTGGTATTCTCCGGAGTCCCACGAGAAACTCGACCGTCTTCGGCCCAGGCCAGCTCAGTGAGGAGAGGAAGGGTGTATGGCAACGCATTACGGGTACTATCAAGCAAGGCACCGCATCCAACAGACCCGCCGGTCCGGTTCCAGGTCGCTGCAAGGCAGAACGGCAGACGGCACGGCTGCGCGGGACGGGGTGGAGAGCAGACAAGTCCGGCAGGGAAGCAGACGACGGTCATTGGGCACGACCGTCGGTCCTTGTACGGCTGAGATTCTGAGAGGGTGAGTGACCCGGTAGGCCGGGTCCAATGGTCCATGGCCTCGCCACCGGCCATCTCGCCGCTTACTCGTTGGTCAAGAAAACGGATGAGAAGAGTTGCATGTATCTGTACAAAGGTAGTCAGAGTCTCAGCCGGGTGAATTATACTTGACGCCTCGCACCATGGCCTGTTGTCGGGACGGGTCTTATTACCGAGTGAGTACTCCGCACTTGGCATACCGACAGTAACTAGCAGTATTAACCGGCTCTTTGACTAACGACAGTGACTGTTACCAGATACGTTTCTCTGCTGCCGCATATCTGCCTCTTGCTAGTCTACCAGTGCTCAGAATTTCTGTCCAGTATGGAGTACGGGTACATGTAATCTGTAGTCGTCAACAGAAGCAGAAGCAAGGGGGGGAGACTTTCCAGTTGAGTCGTTGACCGTGATGATCGGACCCCGTCCCCAAGACTACGTAGTAATAGTAAATCAAAGTACTCCGTACTGCTAGACTTGATAATTCTCGTCAATGATGATCGGCTCCGCACCTGTGTATTATATTTATCTAAAAAAAAATTTAATTTTTTTTTCAGAGTCAAACCCGTTAATGATCCGATGAGATATTATACCGCCCTCCCCCTCCCCCCCAAAGAGTATGTATACCAGGGGTATAGAGACTGTCTGGTTGTGAGTGGTGGGTTTCTGTTTTACTGTATTTCTTCTTTTTTTATTTTAGTAACCCCAAACGTACGTCATATATGATTTATGAGCATTTACGCCGTCAATAGCAAGTCTTGCAGCCTGTCATCGTCTACCGGTATTATAATGCAAATTACTTGGGCTAAATTCATGCTTCTTTCCCGACCCTCTCTACGCTGTCCTATGGACAACAACTATAATCTGTAACAAAATATTATATAATTATGTATATATATACATGGTTTTTTTATTAAAAAAAAAAATCGGACTAGACTCTTCTCGTCTTGGTGTATCATGCAAATGTTATATCCTTGTTGTCTAAGGGGGAGGAGATTTTACTATTAGTATTAATGCTTGTACTATTATGTGCAGTATAGCTGGTCAGTACAGAAGAATTATGACAATGAAAGTTTCTAATAATGAGTATCAATCAAGTTTTTTTTTTTTCTAGTTTTCTTTTTTTTTTGTCTTCCACATAACCATCATGAAAGTCACTCCGGAGATCCGAAGGGGGGAGTACATGCATATTATTCTAACAATGGGTATCGAGTCTTTTTTTTTTTTTCCCTTCTCCCATGAGACATTGAGGAAAAGTCGTTCCGGACATCCGAAGGGGGACAGGAGTACAGTAGTGTACTCGTAATGCTACCATTTCCTAACCTTTCATCTTTCGTCCCCGTCTGTAACGTTTAGGGGGGGGGGGGGAAGGGAAGAGGGAGGGAGGGGAGAGGGGGGATTAATAACACATGAGATGCTCAACAAGGAAAAGAAGAAAAGCAAGACGTCTGCATCGTAGTCTCATCTACCTATTTCATTTTTTATGTATGTACATGCTTTACTGTCGTTGTTTTTTGTTTCATCTCAATGTACAATAATCTTTCCCCTTTTTTTCTTCTTTTTCCCCTTCTCTCCTCTGCCTTTTTTTTTTCTTCGTCTTCTTTTCCTCTCTCTCTGTCTCCCTCTCTCTCTTGCCATATATATAGATATACATATATAGATATACATATATAGATATACATATATATATAATTCCACTGGGGTATTGACAAGGGAGAGGGAAAGACACCCGTAGCAAGACTCAATACTCACTCACCCTCGGACTACCGACTCCACTCCCCGTCACACTATCGCTGCTAGACATGTACGTCTGATCTATGCGGAAGATCCAGTCCATCTTGTCGCGTTCGCTGCGCGCGGCGAATAGCCACGTGTTGTCCGTCCCGTAGATGGCGAATACGGCAGACTGCATACGTTCGCTCAGGCGGGTGATGCCCTGCTGCTGCTGCTGCTGCTGCTGCTGCTGCTGCTGATCACCACCGCCGGTCCAGATGGTCGACACCACGCGGCCCGATGCCGTCCGGCGATGACCAGGGGTGAATGACGATCCTCCTCCGTTCTGAGGCGTAGAGGTGCCTGAACCGCCGTCGCCGCCGCCGCCGTCGCCGTAGTCGTCCGGTTGGTGGAGGAGCCCCAGCACGCCGGGCTGGCTGTCGACGCGCGAGTTGCGCAGGCTGACCAGCCCCACCTCGTCGCCGTCCCCGGCAGAGTGTATGTGCAGGTAGGGGCGGCGCAGCTCGACGAACCGCTTGAGCCAGCGTGTCGAGTCGTCGTTCGGCACGAGGAGGTACCCGCCCTTCAGCACCTTCGGATTCTTGGACACCCGGACGATCGTCGTGATCAGGCTGGGCGGCACGGGGGCCTCGTCCGACACGCCGTTCGTCGGCGGCGCCGTGTTGGCAGGGCTCAGGAGCTTGGTCAGCGGGTCGGGGTAGCGCTGCCACAGCTTCAGACACCCCTCCAACAGGTCCGTCTGCCGCTCGTCGTACTCCGACTTGGCCTTGACCTCTCCTTCCGATGCTGCCGCTTCTGTTCCGGCCCCGTCGGCTTCTGCTGTCTGCTCTGCCTTGTTCTCATCCGTCGACACCTTGATCGTGTCCTCCCCCTCCTCCGCCGTCCTCTCCGCGTTGTCCTCCGGGTCGTCGACCGAGGGGGCCTGCGACGTCGACGGCGTGTCGTTGAGCACGTCGTCGTCGTTGGGGATGATCGGCCTGATCTCGGGCGACGGCTCCGGCCGCAGGGCGCCCTCCCCGTCGGCTCCCAGCTTGCCCCCGTTGACGTCGACGTTCATCTTGCCCAGGATGGTCTGCATGGCGCCGATCTCGGCCACGCGACGCCTCTTCTTGCGCGCCTTGATGAAGTCGCTGACCAGCGAGACGCCCCTCGGCGTCCAGCTCGTCAGGTTCTCCTCGCCCTTGACGTAGTCGTGCTGGCTGTTCATCCTCCACAGGTCGCCGACGCGCTTGATGGGCGCCGGGCGCATCGTCAGCGTGAAGATGCCCGTCGACGTCTTGACGAACCGCACGTTCTGGAACATGGCCGAGAAGAGTGACGGCTGCCGCACGAACGATCGCGGCATGATCTGCACGCACACCTTCTGTGAAAACTTCATGGGCTCCGCCAGCTTCTCCGAGCTGATCTCCCACGACACCGTCATCTGCACCCTGTACTTGTCCGCCGTCACGCGGTCGAGCAGCAGCGAACCGTGAAGGCTGGAGTCCCACTGCGAGCTGACCGAGATGCACCGCGTCCCGTTGGCATTCTCGCGGTAGATCGGGTGCGACGCCTGCTTCAGCGCCACGTCGGGTTCCGTCCCCGACATGTTGGGCGTCTTGCCCGCCGAGTCCACCAGCCGGATCTTGCCCACCCGCACGGACGCTATGTCTCCCCAAGGCAGCGCGTCGCCGGAGCTGTGCGAGATGTCGATGCTGATCCGCCGCTGGAGGCCCTGGTGCAGCTGGAACGTCCCCGTGTCCAGCTCGCTCGTCTGCGCCACCTCGACCGGTGCGTACTCGCCCATCTCGTCCAGCTCCTTGATCTGGATCCGCGACAGCAGGTCGTGCTTTTCCTGGGTGAAGAACTGCGACTCGTTGATGCGCGTGCCGTTGCCGTTGCTCAGCGGCGCCCCATCCTGCATGTCGTCCCAGCTAAGGAGCTTGTCCAGGTGCATGGTCGACGCGCTGGCAAAGACGGCCACCCGCAGGGTCACGTCGTTCGGCGCCATCACCGGGACGCTCATGCTGTGGACGCTCTCGAACCGGATCGGGCCCTCGTCAAAGTCCTTGATCATCTGCGTCGTCGTGATGCCCTCCTCCTCCGACACCCCGGGGATGAAGAGCTGCGCGTGCACGTCGGTGCCCTCCCGCTCGGCGAAGCCGATCAGCTCGTGCATCACGACGTTAAACTTGAACGTGTTGGTCGGCGCCCGGGCGTGGGACGGCTCGAGCGATAGCTTGATGATGCCCACCGTCCCCGACGTGTACGGCGACAGCACGTCGAGCGAGAAGTCCTGCACCCTGCTGTCGAAGACGGCGCGAAGGGGCACGTCCGTCTCGCCGATCAGGGTGTACGAGGGCATGCAGGCCTCCACGAACGGGTTGTCGAGGCTCAGGTGCTGCGCATACTCGGGCTGGTCCAGGTACTGGTGCATCTGGCGCATCTGGCGCACACGGTCATGCAGCTTCTGGAGGCTCCAGAGGCGGACGACGCTGTTGCGGTAGTCGACCACGCGGATTCCGATGCACGGCTTCTGCGCCTCCTCCAGCCCGATGTCGTCTCCCTCAAACGTCAGCCCGTTGAGCATCATGTCGTAAGACGAGCAGACTGTGTGGCCGTGGTCGACGACGGTGAACTGGAACACGACATTCTCGTCCAACTCGTTGCTCATGATCTGGGCCTCCTTGAGCACCGCGGCATGCTGCAGGACAGACTCGGCCATCTTGACGTAGTGCCTTCCGCGCCAGTGCTTCAGCGTCGCCCGTGCCAGCCCCATCTCTTCGTCGGACAGCCTGGGGTTCGCCTTGGGTCGCCTCAGCGGGTCCATCTTCTCGAGCTTGTCCTCGTATTGCTTCCGCTGCACGTTGAGCTGCCTCTGCATGTCGTCCTTGAGATCCTGCAGCGCATTCTCCATCCGCACCTTCTCCTTCTTGATCTCCTCGACTTCGACGTTGGCCGCCTCGGCGCTCTTGAGCTGGTCCTGGAACTCCTCCTTCTGCCGCTCCAGCTGGCTCTGCAGCTCCTCCCGCGCCTCCTTCAGCTTGTCCTCGTGCTCGGATTGCTTTGGCGTCGAGGGCATGGTAAGAGCTGTGTCGAGCGAGAAGTTGTCAATGGTTCCCGTCGACATGTACTTCTCTCGCACCGGGTACGACATGGTTGACTCGGAATCCTCGCCATCCTCGCGCACATTGACCCGTTCCGCCCTGGCTTTCTGTACGTCCTCGAACAGCGCGTTGAGCTCCTCGTCGCTGAGGCTGGTGAAATTCTGGTCGGTTCCGAGAATGGCGCCGGCTGCCTCGCGACGGGCAAACGACCAGTCAGAATCGCGGCCGTTGCGAGAGGATGCGGGCGAGTCGGGTCTGGAGTCCAGTATCTCGGAGATCCTGCGATCATGCCCAGACCTTGTGGGGGTGGTGGGGGGGCGGTCCATGGCCTGGAGCTGACTCGCCGTTATCGACTGTCGCAGCAGGCTGCTGCCGCCACCGCCCACTTCTGCTCGCTCGGCTCTGGCCTCCATCGGGTGGTTGAACCGGAAGATGTGGAAGTCGCCCAGGATGATGCGGTATCCGGAATGAAGCTGCGTCGGCTCTTCGATACGCTTGCCATTGACCATGACCGAAGCTCCCTCGGACGGCGTCACCGTCACGGTACCTTCCTGGGTGTTATCGAAGCGGCAGTGGTCGTGGAGGATGCGGGTGCCGTTCAGGCGGATATTGGCTTGGTTGTCTGCGTTCGTGTCGACGTTTCCAACCGTCGTCGTTCCAGGCTTGAGGTTGTACACCAGGCACTCGGCCAACAGGGGGTCATCGGACAGATTGACCAAGTGAGGCATCTTCTTGGGCGTGGACAGGCCGATGAACCCCTTCTCGATGCTGATACCGAGCTCTTCCAGCGCAGCCTCGCGCTCCTTGTGGATCTCCTCGGTCTTCTCGAGCTTCTGCTCCCAGGTCTGGTTCAGATCGGAGAGAAGCTTCTCGCTCTGGCTCAGCTGCTCGGCAATCTCGGCCTTGGAGACCTTCTTCAACGTCCCGTCTGGACCTGTGATGCTGACCATCTGCTTCTCCAAGGGCGTGCTCTCATCGTAAACCTCGTCGGAGGGCAGAGCTATGCCACCAGCGCCGCCGCCGCCGCCGCCAAGTTTGCTCCTCAGAAGAGACAGCTCCTCCTTGAGTTCGCGGATCATGCGGGCGTTGGCATCTTCGTTGATGACGGCGTGGTTCTTGATCCGCTTGGCCGAGTCGGCATATCGCAGGGTACTCAGGGTCTCGTCGTAGTTGATGTCTGCGGGACTGATGGCGGCAATCATGGCCGTCATGCTGTTTCCACCTAGCGAATCCTTGAGAAGCCACGTAAGGATACTGTCACGGTAGGGCACCTGGTTGGCGCCCTTCTTCTTCTTCGCCGAACCGGCCGACATGTCGGCCAGGGCGGCAATGACACGTCCCAGCGTGGACAGCGAACGGTTGATCTCAGCACCTTCCTTCAGCCGCGCACCCGTAGCTCCGGTTGAGTTTGCTCGCTCCGAACCTGCCAGATCGACCAGACTGATCTTGGCAACCTTTTCGGCCTCCATCTTCGTCCCCTCATCCATCGTCTTCTGCGTGAGCATGAGGGTGAAGACGGCGTGGCTTCGACTGGACGTCTCGTTCATGTTGGTGGCAGCGACGGTACGGGCCTTGTTCCCTTCGTCCATCAAGCTCTCAATCTCCTGGAAGCCGCCGACGATGAGCTTGGCCAGGTCTTCGACGTATGGACCGGTCGACGGATGCTCTCGAACTCGGAGGTTGCCCTTTGTCGACGGGTTGAGCAGATCGCGCACGCGCTCGTTGTAGATCTCGAGGTAGGACACCTCGACGGTACACTTCGTGCCGGACTCCTGGCCGAGCTTGTCTATCCTCCGGAACATTTCCTGGCAAATCATGGGGATGATGCCAATCTCCTTACCGTAGCCCATCATGGAGTACGACTTTCCGGAACCCGTCTGACCGTAGGCAAAGATACAGTTGTTGTAGCCCTCGAAGGCGTTGTCCAGCAGGGGCGAGCCCAGGTCATCGAACAGGTTGTTCTGTCCCGCATAGTTGGGTGCGTCCTTGCTGAAGGACCAATACGAACGGTCAAAGGCGAATGATTTCGGCTGCATGTCCTTGACTCCTTTGCCCAGATTATCCGGAGTCGACAGGATTGTCTGGTTATCCTTCATCTCGACGATACATTTTGACCCTCTATCGATTTCTGCGCCAGTGATTAGCCGCACGATTCATCGAGAGTGACTGCAGAACCACCCGGCCCCGAGCCCCGAGCGACGTACCTCTCCCGTTGAACGGCCGTACTCTCACCACCACCTTGATATTTCCACCACCGCCGGGCGCCATGGTTATCCGATTTATGTGTGCGAGACCTCGTCTGGCCTCGCGCGCAGGAGAGAGGGGGGGGTTGCTCGGTTATCGGTGTCGTTGTTGCTGTAGCAGTCGGGAAAGAGATGCGCCCAGGCTAGCGGTCTCTTGCTATGCTCGTAGGGCTAAAGCCAGACAGGTGGAGACAAGAGGCCGGCATGCGCTTTCGACACCTCAAGCAAAAGCGTATACTAGCCTCACCACATTGTCCGCGGTGGGGAAGGTAGAGGCGAGCGCGCGTCGCGCAGCAGTCGAATATCACAGGAGATATGGGAGGGAGGGGGGTTGCCTTTCGAGGGGTAGAACCGGGGGTTCGTCGGTGTTGACAAGGCAGGGATATCAGTGGACGGCGGGAAGCAGAGCAAAGAGAAAAGGAAAAAAGGAAGGGAAAAAAAGAGGGGGGGGGGAAAGACTTTGAAGAGAGATGCTCTTCTCGGCCGGGGTTGTCTATGGTCGTAAAACGATGTAAGGCGTATAATGGTTCGTCTGGGGAAAGTAAAAGGCTGGCGGTGAGATGGACGGCACGGCTGAGGGACTCTTCGACCATTTAGCACGCGGTCGCGCACTAATAATGATTGTATGGTTGTGGATAGCGCATTATTTACAAGTATTAAATTGGAGGAAAGCCACGAGTCCAATGCCCGCGACATTCACGTGCAACGTACAGATTACAGCTTCTTGGTGGGGCCCGATAATTAGGCAAGATGGTCCCCCTGAGAGTGACGTTGGCCTGTTGACGTTTGACTTGATTGGATTCATTGCCCTCAAAGATTTGCAGGAATATTCGCACAATAGCTGAGTTGTCATTGTCACACCGTCTCTGTATTGTATTGTAATTGTGGTCAGAGGGGTAAGGGGGACGGAGAGTTCGATGGCGCGTCGGCTTTGTTCATGACCGAGTAGTAGTAGAGTCGACCGACGCCTTTTAAAAAAAGCGCACCCGTCGACGTATTATTGCCAACCCTATACTCCCTTTTCTTCTTCGCCTTTCCATACCGGATGCTCGCTGCTCACAATGCCCATTTGTCCACAGTAATATGACGTGTAAATCGCGCACGTATGTGCGACACACTTCAACACCTCTTTTGTTTTTTTTTTTCATTCCATCTTCTATCAATACTAGGTAGTTAGCTGCCTAGTCTGACGTTGGAACTTGAGATGATGTTGTCAATGCTACTGCGGGTACGCCGCGGTCGTGTGGATCTCCCGTGGCCTAGTTGGCTACCCCAGCTTTGTATCGAGATAGGTACGAGCACGAGGTCTTATGGGAAGAAACAAGCTCTCGGTGATTCTCTATGCGAAGATTGTCGGCATGTTCCTCGATGTTTTTGCCTGCGATTCGAGCTGTTTGTTTGTGACTGAACCGTAACGCCGGGAATCGTGGCGTCCCAGCTCAGATGGAGGAGGGAGACATTTCCCTTGCTTCTTCTTCTTCTTTTTTTCTGCCAGGACATGTGGAGGGAATTGATGGGACGATATGCTCCTCGAGCCCTGGAGACAGCAGAACGCTCTTCCGAAAGATGATGGGCTCGCAGGCTTGTGTCCGCCATGGCGTCCAAGTGATCCCATAACAGGTATCGTATACCATGCGATAGAGCCGAGGACAGGCAGGACCACGGTCCTTGACGGGCATCGGGATCCTGATTCAGGTCCTGGTCGACGGTGATGACCCCAGGGGCAAAGGCACCTAGTTGGAGAGAGAGAGAGTGTGTGTGAGAAGTTCAGATGTTGGTCCCGAGTACACACCAGCCAGCCTCTTTCGCTTCTCCAGTCGCCCGTCGGGTGCACAGGCACCGATGCTCTCCCCTCTCTCATATCGCATCCGGCTCAAACGTCTTCTCATACCTCTGCACATCAAGCGGACCAGTCGGCCACACCAGTATCGCCTCGACATAGACAGACAAGCCACCACCACCGCCGGCACCGGGCCCTCGTCCTCGTCGCTTGGCCTTGACGTAGCCGACGACATTGACCCATTCTCCCACGCGCGTGTCCTCGTAGCCCAAAGACTCGAGAATCAGACGCACGTCGACCACGGCCGTGACATTGGTGTCGCGGGGGTGGTCGTGGCCCAGGATGAGCCGGGCGCTAGACGTCGAATACGAGAGGACGCTGTAGACGGCGTGCCAGAGCTTGTCAGCACCGACCTCTTCCAAGGTCATCCGAGGGAGGCGAGCGTGGCGGATGGAAGGGGTGCACATACCATCCTAGGAATCGCACCTTTTCGCCATCTGTGCGATAAGGTAACGATGACAAGAGACAGAGTTGAGATGGTAACGGTCCTCCAGACATGGCACTCTCGTCTCCCTGGTCTCTCTCCCCTTTCTTTTTTTCGCCTCCTCTTTACCGTTCAGATATGCTGCCCTGTGACCATTATTCAGAGTTCAAGTTACCGTGCAAGGAGCACAATCTTGTATTCGTAGTCTCTGTTGTTGTGAGTTCTGAGAGGCAATTCACCACCACCATTACGACATATTTTACGTGCCTCCCCCACCGTCGGGGTTTCCCCGCAATTCCATCAACTTCAACTTCTTTCAAAACCGGATCTATCGATATAAGCACCCCTCTGTCCTGTTTACTGGACGCAAGAAAAGAAGAAGAACAGGAGATAGGACGATTCAAAAAAGAATGTCGGCCGAAGACCCCCCCAAATTCCTCTACAAGATCCTCCCTGGTTCTCCCCCACATCCTCTCCCATTGGAATTGCCCCTCTCTGAACTCGACCAGAAAGACGGCTTCATCCATCTCAGCACATCAACACAGGTATTCCCCCTTTCTACCCTTTCCCACTCTTCCCGCCTTCACCACCTTCTCGCCAGCCTAGAGAGCCAGAGAGTGCTAACCAATCTAGATCCCCGGCACATGCGACCTCTTCTTCGGCCACACAACAGACCTATGGGTCCTCAAGATTGTCTTCTCGAAGATCGAAACGTCCATCAAGTGGGAGGGCGATGGGGAGATCAAGTTCCCCCACCTGTACGGACGCAACTTTGGCCTTGACGAGGTCGTGTCTTCGCATAACATTGTCAGGAACGGTACTCAGAAGTGGAGTGACAATATCAAAGGCTCGGCATGGCTCGAGTAATTATTGGGTAGATTGTAGACTGCGAGCTGTAACGTAGAGAAAAATAAAAGAAGAATAAAAAGAAATACTTCGCAAAGGTGGTTGAATCTTACGGGTGTGGTCGCATGGCATTATCTGTAAAGGTTTTCATGTATTATGTCAGACATTCAAATATTTCTCTTTCTTTATTTCCTCTCGAAATTCTCCTTTGGGTAGTTATTCCCCAAGAATTTCTTTGTGTTCGGATGTGAGGTTACAGAAGAGAAGATACATGAGGCGTCAATACGTCGCGATACAGACATGAGTCGTTACATTGTATATCACCACCATTACCAGTGCCGCAAGATGGCACACATCATCACGTATCACTGCTGGCAGCGGCAAATATACTCTGTACAATACACGCCATGCACATGCACCGTATTACAAGAAAAAAAGTCGTCTACATTATTCATGCTTTAGGGGCTAGATCCTTCTCCACCATTCCCTTGCAGATGGGGTGGTAGAAATCCTTGTTTTTCTCAAACGTCGCCAGCGCGAGCGGCCGGTCAACCTTGTTGAGCTCGCGGAACAGCGGCCGGACATACTTCATGCGGCCCACCTGTCCCAGCATCTCGGCGATGCCGGGATAGCTCGACGAGTCCTGCGCCTTGACGGCAATGAGGTAGTACGCAGACTTGAGCTCGACGTTGTGCGACGAGCGTAGCGAGTAGACCTCGCCCAGGAGCTGGGCCTTCTCGGCTGACAACGCCCTGCCCTGCTGAAGCTTGCCGAGGAAGACGATCTTCTGGTTGGCGGTAAAGTCCTTTACGTCGTCGGGGCTCGGCTTGAAGGACTGGCGATGGGGGTAAGAGGGCATATCATTAGCGACTGCGTATCAGACGTGCATCGAGAAGATCCGGGGGAACTTACGCTATCCTCCCACTTTTCCGCCAGGCTGTAGCACTGGTCGGCCAGGGTGGTGTCGAATTCGGGCTTGGGAGGCATGCCAGGGGAGTAGTAGCGGTCCTCCCAGTCGATGGCGGCAACCTTCTTCTCGAGGTCCTCGTCGCCGAGGCCGTTGAAGAAGTCCAGGAAGGTGTCGCGGAATTCCCACGAGTCGAGGGACTTTCCGGACCACTTCTGAAAGTAGTGGGGGATGAACTTGTCAAAATTCTCGCGGCCGACGACCCTCTCTAGGTAGTAGACCAAGTGGAAGCCCTTCTCGTAGGCAACCTGGCTGTAAACATCCTCGGGGTCGACATTGTCGTGCTTGATGATGAGCTTGGTATATTCGGGGTTGTCGCTAAACTGCTCGACGGAATCCTCTGTGCAGAAGGGGTTAATCTTTTGTTGATCCGCACCGGCTTTCTTCCTCGCAATTAGCCTTACCGAGTGCCTTCCAGCCAATAATGGCGGAAAAGTCGAAGGCGGCATCTCCATGAAGGGCTGCCTCGATACGACGCTCGAGGTACATTGTCCAGCCCTCGTTCAGCCAGCTATGACAAAGTCAGCTGAATGATCCAAGGCATTGGCAGCTCCACGAAAGGCGAAACGTACAAATGCTCCCAGCTAGCATTGGACACAAGGTTACCACTCCAGCTGTGGCTCAGCTCGTGGGCAATGACATCGACATTCTGGCGGTCACCACTGATGATGGTGGGGGTGGCGAATGTGTAGATGGGATTTTCCATGCCTGCGTCCGACTTTGTCAGCGGGACGATGCACTGGAATTATATATCCTCGCAGGTATCCCCTAGGGCGTTCCCAAGGGTGTCCTTGCGGGGCATCCTGGATACAACGTACCTCCGTAGGGGAAGCTCGGGGGCAGGACCAGAACATTGTAAGCACCCCACTTGTAAGGGAAGATGAGCTTCTCGGCAATCTCCATAAACTTCTCCATGTCTCTCTCAAGCTCCCACTTGCAAGCCTCGAGCTCATTGGGGCCCGACGCAACGACGGAGCGCGGACCGATAGACGCCGTGGCGATATCGCCCGACGCAACGGCAAACAGGTAAGAGGGTATGGGAACCTTCTGCTCAAACCTGTACGTCTTCCTTGTCCCGGGGGTAGCTTCGTGGTCGCCAACGGGCACGCCACTGGCGACGACGGGCAGGATGGAGGTGAGGTTGAAGGTGAAGGTTGACTTGACATCGGGCGTGTCCTGGCAGGGGAATATCGTGCGCGCGTTGATGGCCTGGCACTGCGAGAACACGTACGGGTGCTTCTTGTTGGACGTTTGGGCGGGCGTGAGCCACTGCAGGGCGGCACACCTGTCCGTCGTCTCCAAGTCGATGGACAGGTTGATGGTGTCACCCTTGGCAACGCCGCCGCCGCCGGGTATGGCCACGTGCAGCGGGGAGCCGAGGGGCTCCTTGTCGGCCTTGATCTCCCATTCCGATGCGGCGGAGTCGACCTGCACGCCCGAGACCTTGACGAAGCGCGAGTCCAGGATGACCTCGCTGCTCTGGCCGTCCGTCTGGGACTCGAGCTGCAGGATGACGGAACCCCTCAGGCACTTGGCGTCAAAGTCCAGGTCAAAGTTGACGGTCGTGTGCCTGGTACGCCAGGCGCCATAGTTGGAGAGGGTGCTGGGGTCGCGGTTCGCCATGGTGCCGGCGCTGACTGATGCAAAACCTCGGCGGAGTGAGGGTGAGTTGATGATGCCTGCCCTGGACGTCGGTGCTGCTGCTGCTGATGCTGCTGTGGCTCGCCTGGAGAAGGAGAGCAGCCAAGACATGAAAATGAATGCCCGAATGAGATTCTTGCCCGCAGTAAAGCTGACTCCAGTCCCAAAATCCCACTGCTAACCGTTGCCCACTGCGTTTTGGGCCACGTCAAACCGTTGGTTCCGCTTACGGTAGGTGGTGCTGATTGCCTTGTGATTATCACGTGTTTGACCGTGCAGCTGTTGTCTGCTCTGCAGCCTGTTGCTGCTGTTGCTGTGGTGGTCCATAGAACCTTTGATGTATGCTGAGTCATCCAAGCTCGTGCTCTTGCTCTCGTATAGAGCTCGAGATATTCACATGCGAGATGGCCAATAATCATCTGCTTGATCGGTTTCATCTCTCTTATATATTATACATAGGTCTGCATACACTGCTCGACTTACTCTCAGCGACTTATCAAGTATTGTTGGTGCTTGATGTAAAAGCCATCACCATCGATTGCTATGCGTTGCTATGCGTCTACGATGGGTTAGGTTACGAAATCTTATCACCAACAAACCACTATTACATTGTCCATGAAAATACTCCGGTTCTCTTTTGTCTTATTGTCCTTTCATTTCATTTCCTCTTGCTACCTGAACGTAAACGGTTGAATACCAAAATGAGCCCGAAGCATGAATTTCATGACCGCCCCCAACATCGACAGCGTTTCGCAACGGCCCAGTGACGGATGCCCTCTCATATTCAGGGTAGTTCAGTTATCGGTACGGGTGAGTGAGGGGCAGGACGGTTCCATTCCGCTTCTCGCGGACATCTTCAAGGAAGTCTGCGACGAATTCAATACGAAATGTATCGATGAGCGAGCCTGAATGATTCCATCTCCACATCCCGCTCGTACTGCCCTCCCAACTTTTCTTCGAAAGCAATGAGACATAGATTGTGTTGTGTCGGTGGCAGTGCTTTCCCTTATCAAAACCAGAGGTGGGCGTACGTCAAAGTGACTGTGGGAATTGTGGAATAAGCGGCGGCCGCTGGCCCCACACGCTGAATCCACTGAGGGGGCAAGTAAAGAAAACAAGGGAGAAAAAGAAGGGGAAAAAAAAAAACGTGTGTGTCTTCATCAGGGGTCTCAACACACGTCAAGCCTTGTGAATTTCCGGAGTGCATCAATACAAATGTACGAGGCAAGTGTGGTTCTTTAATATATTCGAAGCGGCTTTTTTTTTGCTATACTCGTGCCAAGCGGATCTTCCGCGGGTGGGCCGGCTCTAGAAGCAGAAGGAAAAGGGGATGACGCCCAGACTATTGGTTTCCATACGCCACCGTTTTCTTCTCCCTCTCCTTCTTGCTCTCACCTAACAGGCAAAACGGTCGCTCATGAGACAATAGCGCACCTGTATTATAATTTCTGCTGCAGTGCCTTGGAGGTGGGGTCTGCTCGAGGCCTCGAGGACGGGAAACACGAAATTGCGAGTATTATTATTAATGACTAAGAGGGGCAGGCTGGTCTCAAAGCCTAGCAGCAACAGCAGCTCTACGGACAGGCACACAGAGGAGTTCATTTACGAGCTTACCCATCGCAATAACACTGCATATGGAGCACAGGTAGTAAAAGTAAGATACTAGGATAGTCAATGTTTTGGTCTGCTGCAACATCTCCACGTTGCCAGACACATGGGAGATTTCCTCTATGAGCTGACCTGTCGCAATAACATTGCATACATGGTACTGTTACAGCATCTCCACGTTGTCTGTGACACATGGGAGATTTCCTTTACGAGTCGACCTGTCGCAATGACACTACGTACGGACTGGCAGAGTACAGGTAGTAAGATGTCGAGGGTAGTCAATGTTTTAGACTGTTGCAACATCTCCACGTCGTCAATACTGGAAAACTTCGTGCTGCAAAAGATTATCTGAGGGTCGTCACGGACGAGAACACCGGTGGGAAAGCAAATCTCCGGCAGAGGGAGGTATTAGCATTGACGATTGACAGTCCTATACACCGTAAACAAGATCTCGGTCGGCATAGAAGCACGGCAGCGACGAAATATATCAGACGACCGTCAATCAGGAAGGGGGGAAGGGAGGCGGGGGATACAAGAGACGTGAGACAGTGACGAGTAAGAATGATCGTGATGAGCAATACAGGTACAGCGTACGAGTGACTGCAGATATAGAGCAGATACTCGTACACGGAATATCATCAAAATTGTATATATGATTTATGAGCACGTATGGAATATGCACGTTATAGCGACAACATCGCGAGTGCTGATGCGCTCACGTCGTGAATGTCGGCGTCTGCAGTTGAATCAAGAGCAGCTGCAGAGGTACAGAGTACGGGTCTCGGTAATCTGTAGAGGTAAGATGGTAATATTGTCATCAGTATTACGCCGCAATGCTACTGTTTACTAGAGTCTCCTGGAGTTTGGTAGTGATATCATCATCACTCACTTCTAGTACGGTTGGTAGTAAAAAGTACATGCTAATATATGCTCGACTGGGGGAGGAACCCCGTGACTACACAGTCCGTATGCACATGCGTTGTGGCGTCTGCAGCTCAACGACCGTTGGAGCTGTCAACTTGAAGGGTGAGTGTGCCTCTAAAAACCGAGTCGACCAGTTGTGATGGCGAATAGCATGAAAGACTCGGGTGGGGAATCTGCAGGTCTTGAAGATTTGAGAACAAGATTATGTCTCGGAAGCAGACGGGAAAGTGTACGTACATATATTAAGTTGAGAAGGGAAGAGAAAGGGCAACGATCGCCAACTTCCTATTAGTCGTGCGTAGTATTGTACCTATATTATGTAGTAGGGATAGTAACAAGATATGCAACAAGATCCCAGAATGGTCACTTGCAGTAAATGGAATGGAGTATTCCTTAGCTTCCTTCTCTCTCTCTCTCTCTCTCTCTCTCAAGAATGGACAGTCTCTGCGCATCTCAGCCCAGGGGTCAGGTCAACTTCAAAGGCTATGAAACATGTACATGATGCAGGCCCTGCATAAGTGCGCAACCGGTACATTGAACATGTGCATACGAAAATGGAGCGCTCTGCGGAAAAAAAAATAACATTTCAATGTGAGATTGCGGTTTACCCATTGGCCATAGAATTGACGGAACATAGGGATGACCGGGATGACCGAGTATACATCATCATCGACATCATCATAGCTCGAGATTTTGGTCTGCTATTACTTGTAGCATTAGCAGCGCCAAGGAATGAATATCTGTCGCCGTTTCCAGAACATCTTGCACCGTGGCTATTACACGTCTTGTGGATATATACATGCATCCACGTGGAATGAGAGGTAACGGACTCGAAGGTCTGATGGCGCGGTCTCAATTCCCTTGGACGAGCACTGGAAAAGGCAGAGGAAGAAGAAAGATGCCTACTGACACGAAAGCTCTGGCCTTTTGCTGTGTCTACGAGTACGAGTACAGATTACAGGCTGCGCCGCTACGGTTATCTTTGCTGTACCCTTCCATCCATGTTCTCTTACCTGTAGTCGGCCAGGACTCCCTACATTAGCAGTCGGTTAGCACCTGCGAGGGGCCTTGCGAGGGCCTTGCGAGGGCCTGCCGAGATGTGTAACACGCCATGGTACGCCGTAGCAAGGATGGGATGTACGGATTACAGCAGCGGATGTCTGGCTACGACGTATTACATGTATAACATAAGAGCTCTATTACTTTAGCACGGTTATTTTGATTCGAGTGTGGAGACTGAACAAAAAGGCCCTGCTCCCCGATGTATCAGAGCCCTTGTTCTACTATGAGTCTACTTATTACAAGTACCTTTCTGCAGCTAGGAGCCGACTGTTTCCTCGTTCGTACCTGTATATTAGTTGATACCACTATGGCCTTTGGCCTCCTTGGTCTTCTCGGTCTCCATCTCTTCTTCTCCCCTCCCCCCCCCTGGCACCGCAAATACTCGTACATGTATTACTTGCCCGTAGCCAAGCCTTGGACCATGTGGATGAGGAACATATATGCCCCTACTGTTAAGACGACGGTAACAATAGCAATTTACACATATACAAACGGGCAACGATGCTTGTTGTCTATGCTCTACTAATATGTGTCGATTATGAGAACGAGGTTATATATATATATATATACATATATATATACATATATATAGACTGCTATTGGTGGTAGTATTGTTGATTGTTGCGGATATATAGACTTGGCTGTATGGACACATCCAGGACGTCATCTTCTTATACAAACATGGTAGGCACGATGGTGGCCGCTCTTGCCAAGTCTACGAGTTTGAGCAAATGGCGCTGTCTGGGCTGCGCGCATTCACGGGACGCACACACACACACACACACACACAAGATAAAAGAGGGGGTCAGAGGGAGTCATAATAGACACCCGTAGATGTGTAGGGAGGCATAATGTGATAACCTCCCACGGGCTACGAAGTACATACTCCCGTACTACACTCCCACACTACGTACGAGTCTTACATCTCCATACCATACCACGTTGATGAGCTCCCCAGGACACCTCCACTCGCCGACATGATCTCCTGTCCGCTGCAGGCACCGCCAGGCAGTCGTCAGGGCTCTTCTCGTCTTCATCCTCTCCCCCCTCCCCCCTCCCCCTTTCATCCTGCCCCATCGTTTTACCTTCCCCTGCTCGTCTCCTCTCGTCTCTTCTCATGTGGCGTGCCCATCATTCCCACATTTTCCCACATTCTCTGGGGCCCATGGCCATTTTTAACATGGCGTGTATGCACAGCAGTTCCGGGCGAGTATCACGGAGAAAGCAGTAGGAATCTCCTATCTCGAATCTTGATGCTACTCCTTACGTTGCAGGCACTGCCTGCTAACCTGTTTATTGCCATGATGATGGCGGCACTCGGTAGTTGGGCCTGTCTACTACTGACGCAATACCGCTGATCCTTCCATGAACAGGTTTCGGTTACAACTTGATAGCTGTGAAAGGTACCGGCAGTGTCTATATTCTCCACCATGACGGAGTACGTGGTCGCCATTTTCGTTGAAATCCAGTCTTCTTGTGCGAATATACGGAGGCGCATCAAGGACGGATGCGATACTGAACCGGATCGACTTTTTTTCCGCACCTCACCTCGGGAGGAGTTGATGGTAAGCTTGGAAACAAGCTCCTTTCTGATGCACAAGCCTGAACGGTGTACGGACCGACATACTGACCTCATGGCGTAGCAAATGTGATAGAACCTGCAGAAACCCTTCACACTATCTTCTTCACACTTGCATCTCTGCAGCAAAAGCAGCAGCGGTAGCAGAAATAAAGATTGTTACTGGACCGAATGCGAAAACGAGCGGGCACATGACATTCCCATCAATCCAGCAGCGCGCCCATCTCATCCGCGGCGGCGCAACGGCTGCGAATGATAGGCCGATTTGAGCGGGAACCCCAGTTCACCGGGGCTGCCACGGATATTGGCCGTTCGATACGAGTAGAATACCGCGTATTGAGGACAGTTCGCCAGCGACCGATCGTCTACAGGCATCTGTGTACGAGTATACTGCTCCGTACCCACGACGGTAACTGCGAGTCTACGATGGACTCGTGTACGGGCAGATCAGCGTCTCCGGGATCCAGTCCAGTTTAGAACTTCAGGCTGGACGCGTGCCAGCGCCGGGCAGGCAAAGGGATCGCAGGTATTACTCGTATCTTGCTACGATGAATAAAGTACGCAGCCATTCCAGTATTATTACTCGCGCCTGCCTACGGACATGTACGGAGACCGGTAGACAGGTAGGCGGGTACTGCGTACCTATACCTGGGAGAGCACCTTGCAGCTCAGGGTGGGCGTGGGCGTGGGCAGGGGGGTTTAGGGTCCGCCGGCGGTTTCACTCTATGCGGGCGTACCCCTGCGTTTGCCTCATGCGGCGAGCGAGCTGCGCAAAAAAAAAAAAAAAAACCCCAAAAATTATGATACACTCGAGAGTCGAGCACCGCTGAGCCCTTGATGATCCAGAGTGGATGGTCTGTGGGTCAATTGTCCACACAACCTTGCCAGTGGTTTCGACATTGTCCTTGAAGAATGTCTTGGCTTCCTACGGAGTACTCGTACCCACGGAGCAGCAATATTGCAAGGGCTCAATTCTTCGTATTTTCACCTTGGAGCCCGCAATAGCCATGTGCTGCTGCTGCTGTTTGTTGGCGCCATCGGTCCCATCCAGGCCCCATCGCCAGTCAAAAAAAAATCTCCTTCAGGTACGTGCACCAACCCCCACACCCCCCCCGGCAACCGGTCCGTCGACAGCAATCTCCGCTCCCCTCTTTCCTCTGCCCCTTCTCTTACAGAGTACGATGTGTACCTACTCGTGGAGGCTAGGCAGGAGAGGTCACAGAGTATCCGGGCCACCCTCCTCCTCTACCCGACCATCCCTAGGACCTAGTCTCGACGATTCATCGCAGAGGGGTGGGGGTGTCTGTTTCCAGCATTCCCAAGCCATGCCGACCACACACGAAAGGGCTCATGTACTTGCATACACGGGCTCTATCACCGAGTGCGATGACGGTTGTGAGCCTTCTCAGGAATCCACCGACCATCCTCGTCGTTCATTTTCCATCCCGACACATGAGGCTCGATGGATATACGGACGATTAGACTGTGGGTATCATGAAAAGCAACGGTACTGACCCTATCACTCGCTAGCTCTCGATAATAGACTATAGTTACACGTATATCGTTGCCGGGCGGTCGGCCTAATGACGGACTTTGGCTCTGGGTCTCTGGCCCCAAAATGACCCAAGTCCATCGCAGCGGGGCCCGGATGGCCCTGTCCGCATTCTTGCCCCGTACTCTCGGAGTCGATGTGTCAAGTACGTACCTGGCTGGGTACGGAGTTACTCAATTACCTGTACGAGCATACGGAGCAGCTCGTACAGCCTGCCCGCCTCAATACTCCTGGTGCCGAGCAATAATACATAGCTATACACCACCACCACCACCCCCTCCTACTTCACCGGCTTCTCGGTTCTGAGCTTCGTCTTGTTTCACCTCTCCATTCAACTTGCAGTTCCTGGGACGTGGGATCCATAATACCGGATGCAAGCCATCTGTTCTGAGACGCACTTCTACAAGAGAGCTGCCGTCCTTGGGAGAATACTGCTACGTCCCAGATCATGGCGCATATTGTCAACTGCGTCGCCGATGTCGACACTCGGAGTACTTCTAAGCCAGCCACCCCCCAACAGCCGCACACGTATGAATTGGTAAGGGTCCAAACTACCCATCGACCCTCGCCTCACATTGCTCGACGCTCACCTCCTGTTACCCAGCAGCACGAGCAGTCTTGGCTTAGCCTGGCTTTTGATACCCCATCATCAAGCATAACAACTACTACCACAACCACAACCACAACAGCAATAGCAGCAGCAGCAGCGGGAACAACAATAACCACAAAGAAGAAGATGGCATCCTCGCAGCCAGCTCCGGCGCAGCCAAAGAGATACCAGTACCAGCTCTTCCCTCGAGAGAGGCAACTGCCCGCCCTCAACATGAACAAGGCTCCAGAGCTGGAGAAGGTGATGGAGGTGGCCGTCGCGGACAAGGAGAAGGATGACCAGCAGGCTGGCAAATCCACACCCGCGATTTCGCTCAAGAGCAAAATCAGCCAGCACAGCCTTGTCCGCCGTCGGAAGATCAGTGTGCCGGACCTCGGGCCCATGACCACAGTTCATGAGGTACCCATGGATTCACGTACGTGGCTACCGAGAACCGGGTTCTGGTTCGGACGTGGAGCTGACGAGCCTACAGCAACCATCCCTGGGCGGCCGGCGATCCACGAGCGGTCCACCAGCGCTCCCGCAGATGACATGAAATACAAGAAGCGGCAGCAGAGGCAGCAGGGCCAAGACCAGGAGCCCATGAAGTCGTTTCTCTTCGTCGACCAGGAAGAGGAGGAGCAAGGACAGAAGACCGGCGAGATGTCCTTCAAGGAGTACGCTGAGAGGAAGCTCTCGTCGGCCCTGCCGAGGCAGCTCGCCCCGCTCATCATACCCGGAACCTCGGCCAAGTCGTCATCCCAGACACTCGACAGGAACTACCCGTACAGCGCACTGCCCGGCCCCGAGGCCATCCGGAGCACCACCTCGGTCCACAACAAGTCGGCATCGGCATCCTCGTCATCAAAGGGCATCCTCCTCCCCAGCACACGCTACACCCCTCCGCCGTCCACCTCGAGCACCGACGTCAGCTCACAGTCTCTGACCCCGGCCACGACGGCAGCCAGCGTGCCCCTGACCACTCCGGTGTCGGCACCTACCGCGGAATCCCACAGGGTCTCGCCCAAGCCCTGGGAGGGCCGCTCGATGACGCCCGTCATCATGGAGCGTTCCCTGACGCCTCAGCCGGCAGCACCCCAGCGGCCGGCAACCTCGCTCGGCCACAGGAGGGGGGCGTCCGAGTCGTCGAGCCTCGAGAGCCGCGGTCGCGCCCGCAAGAGGACCGAGCCTGTGCACAACCTCCCCCTGAGCTCTAAGCGGAGCGCTTCGCGCCTGGACGGGACACAGGAGCGCAAGGCCACGCTGGAGCGCAGGGCCTTTGAGGAGCTGCCCAGGGGTTTCCCACCCAGGGAGGCCGTCCTCAACCTCAGCGTGGAGGAGCTCGCGTCCGTCCACAGGCAGGCGTACGCCCAGGTCGAGCACTTTGAAGTTCTCAAGATGCATGACGTCGAGAGCCTTTCGAAGGTACGCAGACTGCCATGACCGTCACACGATGATTATCGTCTTGCTAACCGTGACTGCTCTCCCAGGAACTTCGCCGCCTCGACGAGCGCACAGAGTACCTGCGCCGCACATACAACTCGCTCCGATCGGGTCGTCGCAACCTCCAGGGCCGGATATGCCAGTTCCTGAGATCGCCGCGAGTGGCCAAGTTCAGCCCGGAGTCGATGCTGAAGCAGGAGGAGGCGTTGGCGGAGCTCGACGCCTCGATCGACGACTGGGCCAACAAGCTAGAGATGGCCGAGAACCGGCGCACCAGGGTCCGGCAGAAGCTGCTGGAGCACGTCGCAGCGGCGGCCATCATGACGACGTGCGGCTGCGAGCGGAGCATCAGCCCCCCTCCGGCCCCCACGTCTGCTACCAGCACGGCCGGCATCTCGACCCCGCCCAGATCCCCTACGAAGGCCTCATGCCGTTCCGCCGGAGGAGGGGGCGGATCGTCGTCACCCTCCCCCCAGCGAAACGGAGCGCACGTGCCCAGCACGATCCTTGAGAACCCCGTGGGCGAGGAGGCCGAGAACGGCGAGAGCAAGAGCAGCGGCGACAGGGGTCTCTCGGTCTCGCGCGTGGCCTCCCTCAAGCGGTCCGACGTGGAGAGCATCCGCATCTACGCAGGCGACGACATCACCACGCTCCTGGCCAATGTCGAGAACGAAATCACCAGGCTGTCGCGCGAGATCACCGACCCGGAGGAGGACAAGTGGCCCGACATGCGCAGGAGGGCCATCCACCGTCAGAAGAGCCACGAGCTCCTGAGCGGGTGGGCCGACGTGCCGCAGGTCGCGGCCATGAAGGCCGTCAAGGGTGCCGCCGCCGCCGCCGCAGCAGCTGGAGCTGGAGCTGGATCCTACGACAGAGCTGCTTCGCCTCCGCCACCTACGCCCCCAGCCAAGGATTAGATTCAATCCCGCCTGCTTCTCTCTCTCCTCTCTCTCTCTCTCTCTCTCTCTCACGAAGAGAACGCCCAAGTGCACCGAGTGCGCGCAGATGCCCCATCTGTTCCAGGTTCCTGGTTCTTGTGTGTGTACGCGGGACGTACCTCTCAACCCCTTTCCCTCCCTCCACTTACCTGACAACCGTGCCATCCCGGACTCGACATCGTCCACCAGCGAAATCCGTCTCATGACTACTCACAACCCTCCATCGACATCGACAACTTTCCAAACATACCCCACCCTTGCATAGACCAACGGCCTTGAAAACATAAAAGAAAGGAGTGTACTTTCTTTCTTTGCATAGCGACAAAAGGAAATCATTACTGTCAATTTTTTTTAGCGTCCCACGACTGCATTTTCACTCCTTTTTCCATTTACCTCCCTCGTCTCTCTCTCTCACATACACATACATACACACGCACGCACACATACACACGCACACACATACATTACTTACCTGTTTCTCTCTTACTATTATTACACTCTGTCTTTCCAACCCTCGATACACGGGAGTTTTCTTCCCCCCCCTCAATTTTTTTCCTAGTTGAACATCCGGTATTACCCTAGTATTTAAGCTTTCTCGATACCCATGAATTGACGAAATATTCTTTCAAATAATTTCCACTGTTCACACGCTGGACACACACAACAACGCCAGCACCGTCGTGTACGCACACACATCTGGAACAAGAGCATTGACGTGACACTTGGAAGGAAAAGGAATGCAAAACAGAGTGGCTGCATGTGTTGCAGAACAAATCCCCCCCTCTCCTCATTATCACACTCGTAGTATTACCATGCTCTCTTCTCTCCGTCCGCATCTGGCCTCCTCCGCGAACAGAGTCGACAGGGGTAGGTAGAGCCTGAAACATTATGGTCAGCTCTACTTGGTCAGTTCAACATCAACACACCAAAGTACCTAACCCAGCTTCCCTCACCAAGATGGGCGGTGGAAGAGCATGGTGTACCACCTTGTCGGAGTCGTCATTTCTTGTTATCTATACACCACTCACGGGGTCTCCAGCAGCCAAGAAAGGATCCTACCCAGCGACGAGTCGGGTGCTTCTCCCAAAGCTTCTCTATCTCTTGGCAGGCGACCATGCCCAGTATTGTTCGATGTAAGCTTACGTAATCACAGGCTCAACTCAACTCCGGTGAGAAGAGTACAGAAGTAGTAGTAGGAGTAGTAGCAGCAGTCCCCCGCACTGAAAGATGGAATCGACATGTAAAGAAAGAGTCGGGAAAACAAGACCCCCCCCTGATTTATCCTTTTTATTTTTATTTTTATTTTTATTTTTTAAAGAGGGATGATATTGTCGTGTGACACTGACCGGCAGCCGTGAATGCATGCCCATTGTCCACACCGGAAGATACGGAAGATACACATGACCAAAAAAAAAAGAGAAGGTTGAGTGATGACACCAACCTCTCACGCATATGCGTCGTGATTCAAATGGGACCTTGCGTATGCATGCAGGGATATATGCAGACGCGGGGGGGGGGGGGGGGGGGGGAAGTTGAGAGGGTGCGAGAGGCTAGAGCCCAGGGCATCAAGTTCACACGACTTCGTCTCCGTACTTGCCTGACGCCTCCTCTCTTCCTCCCTTTCCCCTCTCATTCCTCCTCTTACTCTTTCGTCATCACTAGTTATCGAGATGCATCGTGACGACAAGACATTCTTCATCTGTGGCCCGTCGCTGTACTGCATGGAGTAAGTGGGACACGTCAAATACTCTAAATACTTTGAAAGGGGGGGGGGGAGAGAGACGAGGGAAAAAATCACGACTCCGAATAATGTAAACTCGTTTCCTCGTGTGATTAAAAATACTTAGAATAATAGGTACATATCGTGAAAAGAAGAAGAAGATCACCTGGGTGCATGATGGATGTATCACA